AGCCACTAGTACTCTTCCTTCAGATATAACATCCACTCCTGCAATGTCAGCCACTAGTACTCTTCCTTCAGATATAACATCCACACCTACATCCATTCCTGCAATGTCAGCCACTAGTACTGTTCCTTCAGATATAGCATCCACATCAGCATTGTTACGGACCCGAGTCCAGCGTCCGAGCATGGAGCGGTGACGACAACGCCATCTGTGGGTCAGCTCCCGAAACCCCCTCCAAATGGACGACGCCATCTAGTGAGGACGGGATATACCGGCCACAGGGGCTGGATTCCCGACTTAATCAGCTCGTGGCATAGCCGCTGCTGACCTCTGGTGAGGTGACGCTTAGACAGCAACGCCATCTATGAAGTGGATAGGTGGGCGTTTGTGTCTAAGCCTGTAAGTGAGGTGCCCTAGAGTGTCTCTAGTAGTAATGACGTGTCTGATTACAGAGTCGACCTGGGACTGCTGTATTCGATGATGGGGCAGTCTACCCAAGGCAGCCGTAGTCTCTCCACGTGTTTGCTGCAGAAGCTGTGAGCCACCCCCAGACGAACACTGTTGAGTGTGTTAGCCTGCCTGTGACGTGGCAGTACCAGGAATCGTCTTATCTGGGGGCTGGCTGGTGGGAGAGACTGGCCACTGTGGTTCAGAGAGAGGAGAGTGATCTGCAGGATCACACGAGGCTCCTGCCTAGGGCTCGCACCCTAGTATCGGTCGTAGAGTGGCCTACGCAGCGGAGCTGATTGGAACCTGCCAGCTACAGGCTGGATTTGTGGTTGAAGGCCTCCACGACGCTGCACCCAGTGGGACTGTAATTTGGCTGGCCTATGGCCGGGGTAGATTCGCCGAACGAATCAGAGGATTCATCGTGGGCCACGACAAAGAGAACCAGGGCTACTCATCGTGAGCACCATGGAGCATCCTATGTCTTCAGAGGAAGACGATTCTGTACATTGTGTATTTATACCCCCAGTGTGACAGTTTATATATTTATTTATGGTGGTGGTGATTATATATACAAAAACAGTGTATTTGTGTCCCTTCCCCTTTAATTTACTTGCGTTACAGAACACACCCCCTGAAAGCCACTACTAGCTTGGGGCCGGATACCCAAACTCTAATAACATCAGAGAAGAACCCAGTTGCGACCCAATATGGCCGTAACAAGCATCCACTCCTGCAGTGTCAGCCACTAGTACTCTTCCTTCAGATATAACATCCACACCTACATCCATTCCAGCAATGTCAGCCTCTAGTACTTTTCCTCCAGATATAGCATCCACATTAGCATCCACTCCTGCAGTGTCAGCCACTAGTACTCTTCCTTCAGATATAACATCCACATCAGCATCCACTCCTGCAATGTCAGCCACTAGTACTGTTCCTTCAGATATAACATCAACATCTACATCCATTCCTGCAACCATCATCCAGTTTCAACAGACATGCCATCACTGCTTGTTGCTGTTGCTGGTGACATTTTACAAGAGGAAATACCCAAAGCTGTAACAGTAAAGGAGTTTGTAATCCAAGAGACAGATCCGGGACTGTGGAACATTAATGATACTAACACAATAGATTACTGGATTCGTAGTGGGCCCTCATCATGTTAGAATCATAATAGCAACCTTACAAACTCAAGCAGAGAGTATAAAACAGCTGGAGCAGAGAATATGAGGGAAAGGTATTTATCAAACAATGTGTTCAAACGTGAACTGCGGAATAGCGAGTATGTAAAACGTGAATGGCTACTCTATTCACCATCCCAAGGTCGTTTGTACGGCTTTGTATGTCGCCTATTGTCCAAGAAAGAATCTCACTTTGCTACAATGGGGTTCAGTGACTGGAAGTCCAGCAATGTTATTGTAGAACATAAAAATGGAGAAGAAAATGGAAAGTGCATGACAGCATTTTGATAAGGCATAAAGAAACTGGAAGTGAAGATTCTTTATTGCTTGAGCAACATGGCTCAGAGCAGGAATATTGGCATAAAGTGTTGACACGTGTGGTTTCTGTAATTCGCTTTCTTGCCTCAAGTGGTTTGGCATTTTGTGGAGAAAATCAGATTATTGTGTCAGCAAAAAATGGCAACTATTTAGGAATATTAGAGCTGCTGAGTGAGTGTGATCCTTTCCTGGAAGATCATCTCAATATATATAAGGAAATCTTGGAAAACGGAATCCGTCATATTTATCTGCATATATTTGTGAGGAATTTATTGAATTAATTAGACAACCGGTTCTTTGTACTATTCTTGAATAAGTAAATGAGTCAAAGTATTATTGGTTAAGTGAACATTCCACTCCAGACATCTCGCACACAGATCAACTGACATTTACTGTCTGATACATTAAAGGCTGTGAGTCTGTGGAACGTTTCTTGATGTTCATCTCCATCTTTTCTCACGGAGCAAAGGATCTAACAGACACTGTCGTGGATTTTCTTAACGAGAACAAAATTCCATTATCAAACTGCCGTAGTCAGTCATACGATAATGTCTCAAATATGTCTGGACGATATATTGGATTGCCAACACGGATTCATCAACTCAATGAGTTTGTCATCTATGTCCCCTGTGCTGGACACAGACCGAACTTGGTGGGAGTAGAAGCAGCAGAGTTGTCTACTGACTGTCAAATTCTTTGACTTTGTTCGATGCTGAACAAAGTCAAAGAATTTTGACTTTCAATTTTTGCTGGTTCTACTCATCCTGGATTGTTTTGACATCATCTTTAGATGATATCATGCATCTTTAGATGATGTCAAAATCTAAAGCCTAAATCTAAAAATCAAAATCTCAACCACAGGGATTTTGTGGTGAAGCGTCTGTGTGACAGACGATGGTCAGCACATAGTGATGCTGTTCATGCTCTGTATGGGAGGTTTAGAGAATATAAAACAGGCGCTGGATTCTCTATCAGCTGACAATGAACAGCAAGTGAATACAAGGCGAGAGGCAGAAGGATTGAGCAAAATAATGGAAAACCTGGAAATAATCTTTCTAATAATTCTTTGGAATGACTTGCTAGAAAGAATGAACAAAACAAACAAGGTCCTACAATCAAAGGATGTTATCTTAAGAGGTTATCTTTTATGATTTCGGGTGTTAGCGTCGCTGCGGCCCGGTCCTCGACTGGGCCTCCTTTTTGCTACACATCCTCAGGAAGCAGCCCGTAGGAGCGAACTCCCAAGTACCTATTTACTGCTTGGTGAACAGGCGCATAATGGTGAAAGAAACTCATTTGTTTCCGCCTCCACCGGGTTTCGAACCCGTAACCTTGGGACTACGAATCCCGAGCGCTGTCCACTCAGCCGTCAGGTCCATGAACAAGGATGTGAACATCCTTGTTGCCACGAATCTTCTTGAGTCTATAAAATCTATCTTCAGGAAACTAGAGACAAACTTAGTGAATATAAACTCAAGTCAGGAGTATGTGTCCAGATACAGATTACAGTGATGGGAAAAAACAGGAAGGAAAACGAGGTGTGCGTCTTAGTAGATATGACTGATCAACAGAAGAAGAACTTCTAATGAAAACCCACAAATTCAAGGTGGAAACTTTCCTCCCTATTCTGGCCACTAATCTTTGAACTGACAAAACGTGCAGAGACTTATTCACAGATTGGAAATATGTTTTCTTTCTTCAGTGAATTGAAAACCATTGCTTCTGCTGCACTAAATATATGTTTAATATTATCGACCATTTACTTAATATTCCTGTGTGGTTGTCGTAGGGGCCCCAGCACTCTGGTTGTCCCAGGGGCCCATAATGCTGTTAAGACGGCCCTGATCTCAGTAAGACTAACAGGACCGACTCCGACCAGCCTATGGCTGTCCCGTACCCCAGACTACTTCCCCTGTAATGTTGAGTGAGATTAGCCACAAGCATCAGGTCTCCAGCCTTGGCTAGACACACAGATACTTTCTCCTACAGATATAAATACAAGATGGGGCACCCGGCGGTGCCTGGGTCTCCCCTCCCTACCTCATCATCTGCTCCATTCTCTCTCTTCCCCTCTTCCCTCTCTCATGTCTCTTTCCCAACCTCCTATCCCTCTCTCTTCCTTTATCTCCCTCTACACATTTTACCCCCTTCCACTCAACATCGTCCCCACTCCCATTCTCCCTTAAAATCTCCCCCCCCCCCCGCTCCCTACACCCCTCTCCACTTTTCTTCCCCTCTCTCCTTCCTTCCCTTCCAAAGTCACCCCATCTCCCGAATTCTCTTTCTTCCCCTATCTATCTATCTATCTATCTATCTATCTATCTATCTATCTATCTATCTATCTATCTATCTATCTATCTATCTATCGAGCGAGAGAGAGAGAGAGAGAGAGAGAGAGAGAGAGAGAGAGAGAGAGAGAGAGACCCGGGCACCGTCGGGTTTCTCATCTAGGATATTACAAAAAATTATGACATAATTACTGCTATTAACTTAATCAATGACGATAGATATAATTGTTTCAGGCACTTAACACTCCACACACTATTTTCCTCCACAACTTCACTACAACACTGTCCACACACCTGCCAGTCCACCATACAGCAGGGAAAGTTACACTTAACACTGTCTTCACTGATAACTTCACTACAACACTGTCCACACACCTGCCAGTCCACCATATAGCAGAGAAAGTTACACTTAACACTTTCTTCACTGATAACTTCACTACAAGACTGTCCACACACCTGCCAGTCCACCATATAGCAGGGAATCAACACACTGTACGTGTTCGTGTCTCCAAGAAGTACCAATAAATCACCTAAAGTTCTACACTGACACATCCCATTGTACTTTCTCGTATATAAATAAATCTGCTGACCGTTCTCACTTGTAAAAATGTTCAATAGTTTTGCTGATACATTTACGGTGACCAGCCAGGATATGACGCCTGCAGGCTCCAGATACCAGTGATTGCACCATCACGCAGCCTTGTTTGCTCATCACACGGCGTTATTATTATTATTTTTTCATCAGTGAATATTACCCCTTATTTACCATTACGTGTAATATCAAACGGAAGAGAATGTACACACAGGGCCAGAGTATATTAGTGTAAGTATGAGTACACACGCCCGCTGGCTGGGAGGTCCGGGGGAACACCACCTCTACTGACACTCCCTCTGGGGGGGCCCCTGCTTGGCCCCCGCGCCTCCAGTGCGCATGCGTCACTTCCCGTCTCGTCTCCCCTAGTTGTGCTTGCGGGGATTGAGCTTCGGCTCTTTGGTCCCGCCTCTTAACTGTCAATCTACTGGTGTACAGATTCTTGATTCTTCAGCTCTATCAAATCTACATTTGAAACTGTGTATGGAGTCAGCCTCCATCACATCACTGTCTAATGCATTCCATCTGACACTGAAAAAAATATTTCTAATGTCTCTGTGGCTCATTTGGGTACTAAGTTTCTACCAGTGTCCCTTTGTTCGTGTTCCACACGAGCTAAATAGTTGGACCTTGTCCCACCATGTCAGTTCCTGAGAATTTTGTAGGTGGTGATCATGTCTCCCCTTACTCTTCCGTCATCCAGTGACGTGAGATGTAGCTCCTGTAGCCTTTCCTCGTAGCTCATATCTCAGTTCTTGGACTAGTCTGGTAACATACCTCTGGATCTTCTCTAACTTTGTCTTGTTTAACTAGGTATGAACTTAATGCTGGAGCTGTATGTCCACTACATGTATATACTCCACTACATGTACATACTCCACTACATGTCCACTACATGTATATACTCCACTACATGTACATACTCCACTGCATGTCCACTACATGTACATACTCCACTGCATGTCCACTACATGTATATACTCCACTACATGTCCACTACATGTCCACTACATGTACATACTCTACTACATGTCCACTACATGTCCACTACATGTACATACTCCACTACATGTACACTACATGTACGGGCAACATAAATCATCCACTAGACAGTGTGACATTGTAATTGCCAGAATTAGGCTGGGATATCTATATCTATGGCAGGTGGCTGCAGGTAATTAATCCCCCAATGGTGAACATTCCAACTGTAAACTGTGAACAAGAGCTGGGACATACTATCCAACACTATATCTGTGATTGTCATGTTATCAATAATTTCAGACCAAATGGTATGAGGTACTTTGAGCTCTGTAACTACGTCATACACTCAGGAATATTGGAAGATATTCATGTGCTCTACCCAGAGTGTACTAGTGCAGGCTAATAGATCAGCCTCGCATATGATGTTGTCTCCTGATTCATATATGACTAACCATCCTGTGAGATGGGGATATTAGATGAACTTATAGCTTGTCTTTGGTCTACACTGTGTAATCCCTCATATAGAATAGTGCAGCAGCACATTTTTTGTGTATACTTTGCTTTGGGGTCATTGGAAACAATTTTGTCTTGTATCAGTAAATAGACTGACCCATAATGCAATTGATACAAGACCTCACTAGAAATGTAAATAAATAAATAGATAATTTAGGTAAAAGTACATACATACATATTGAGATGATGGATTTCTAGATAGAGTTATTATATACTATGCCTAAAGTCACTAATGTGCACAGCGTTTCATACAAGATGTGGGAAAAACATTGAAAAACTAAGACTTAAGACTAAATGAGATCAAAAGCATGAAGTGAACTGAAGTAGAAGAAAGAATTACCATAATTACATGTCGAATTAACAACAACAATTGCAACTGACGAGCGATAGTCATTTTGAATAAATAAACTGATGGACTACAATTTTCTTAAGTTTATATATGTCAGGTATTAGCAGTTTTACAAGTTAGTCATTAATGATGTTTGATAATAGGAAGACAGTGGTTGACATTCAGGAGGTAAGGAATGTTACATGGAGTCGATTAGGTAGTACTTAGTGCTTCTCTTAAACTGGTTGAGAGATGGACAGTCTTTGACGTGATTGGAAAGGTCATTCCACATTCTGGGTCCCTTGATTTGCATAGCGTTTCTAGTTTGGTTAAGTCTCAATCTTGAATTATGAATTAGATATTTGTTTCTAGTGTGGTGCCCCCAAGAGTTCTGTTACAACCCTTTAGGAAGCGTTTAAGGTCAGGATTGGCATTACAGTTCAGAGTTTAATATATATAGAGTACACATGAGAGGATGTGCAGTGACATAATATCTAACAAATTAAAAATTTAAATAAATGTCAGGGTGCTGTCTACAGCCAGAGTTTGTTATTGTTCTAATAGCTAATTTATATGGAGTAATTAGAGGACGAAGATAATTTTGGGTAATAGAACCCCAAGCACATATACCATAGTTGAGATAAGGATAGACGAGAGAGTAATAGAGCGTTACAAGCAAGGCCGAGGTACATAATATCTGATTTTAGAAAGAATGCCAACTGTTTTAGAAACTTTTTTCGTTATATTTTGAATGTGGTCCTTGAAAAAAATCGACTTGTTATCAATGAGAACACCAACAAGTTGAATTTCCAGGGCGGTCGTTATTCGGTGATGTTTGGTGAGATGTGGAGCTGCTTGTCGGCCCACCCACTTTAAGGCCCACTATAAATATACAGAATAAGGCCATTGCTACCCTGCCGCCAACACTCACATCCACATCTCACCAAACATCACCAAGAACAGAAAACGGGACATCACCTCAGTTTCGCGAGCCGCAACAATCTTCTTGTACATCAGTTTTTGTCCTTAGGAGAAGTATACGTCAGAATGTGACGTGCTATTTCGAAAGCGGGTTGGGTGAAGGGTAGGGCAGGTGGTGAAGGGTAGGGAAGGTGGTGAAGGATAGGGAATGTGGAGAAGGGTAGGGAAGGTGGTGAAGGGTAGGGCAGATAGTGAAGGGTAGGGAAGGTGGTGAAGGATAGGGAATGTGGTGAAGGGTAGGGAATGTGGTGAAGGGTAGGGTAGGTGTTGATGGGTAGGGAAGGTGGTGAAGGGTAGGGAAGGTGGTGAAGGGTAGGGAAGGTGGTGATTGTAGGGAAGGTGGTGAAGGGCAGGGAAGGTGGTGAAGGGTAGGGAAGGTTGTGAAGGATAGGGAAGGTGGTGAAGGGTAGGGAAGGTGGTGAAGGGTAGGGAAGGTGGTGAAGGGTAGGGAAGGTGGTGAAGGGTAGGGGGGTGATGAAGGGTAGGGAAGGTGGTAAAGGGTTATCTTGAGGTTATCTTGAGATGATTTCGGGGCTTTAGTGTACCCGCGGCCCGGTCCTCGACCAGACATCCACCCCCAGGAAGCAGCCCGTGACAGCTGACTAACTCCCAGGTACCTATTTACTGCTAGGTAACAGGGGCATTCAGGGTGAAAGAAACTTTGCCCATTTGTTTCTGCCTCGTGCGGGAATCGAACCCGCGCCACAGAATTACGAGTCCTGCGCGCTATCCACCAGGCTACGAGGCCCCTAGCTGTTGATGGGTATGGAAGGTGTTGATGGGTAGGGAAGGTGTTGATGGGTAGGGAAGGTGTTGATAGATAGGGAAGGTGTTGATGGGTAGGGAAGGTGTTGATAGATAGGGAAGGTATTGAAGGGTAGGGAAGGTGGTGAAGGGTAGGGAAGGTAGTGAAGGGTTGGGAAGGTGGTGAAGGGTAGGGCAGGTGGTGAAGGATAGGGAAGGTGGTGAAGGGTAGGGAAGGTGTTGATGGGTAGGGAAGGTGGTGAAGGGTAGGGGAGGTGGTGAAGGGTAGTGAAGGTGTTGATGGGTAGGGAAGGTGTTGATGAGTAGGGAAGGTGTTGATGGGTAGACAAGACGTTGATGGGTAGGGAAGGTGTCGAAGGGTAGGGAAGGTGGTGAAAAGTAGGGCAGGTGGTGAAGGGTAGGGAAGGTGGTGGAGGGTAGGGTAGGTGGTGAAGGGTAGGGAAGGTGGTGAAGGGTAGGTAAGGTGGTGAAGGGTAGGGAAGGTGGTGAAGGGTAGGGAAGGTGTTGAAGGGTAGGGAAGGTGCTGAAGAGTGGGGAAGGTGGTGAAGGGTAGAGAAGGTGATGATGGGTAGGGAAGGTGTTGATAGGTAGGGAAGGTGTTGATGGGTAGGGAAGGTGGTGAAGGGTAGGGAAGGTGATGAAGGGTAGGGAAGGTGGTGGAGGGTAGGGAAGGTGTTGAAGAGTGGGGAAGGTGGTGAAGGGTAGAGAAGGTGATGAAGGGTAGGGAAGGTGTTGAAGGGTAGGGAAGGTGGTGAAGGGTAGGCAAGGTAGTGAAGGGTAGGGAAGGTGGTGAAGGGTAGGGAAGGTGGTGAAGGGTAGGGAAGGTGGTGAAGGGTAGGGAAGGTGTTGAAGGGTAGGGAAGGTGGTGAAGGGTAGGGAAGGTGTTGAAGAGTGGGGAAGGTGGTGAAGGGTAGAGAAGGTGGTGAAAGGTAGGGAAAGTGGTGAAGGGTAGGGAAGGTGGTGAAGGGTAGGGAAGGTGTTGAAGGGTAGGGAAGGTGTTGAAGGGTAGGGAAGGTGTTGAAGAGTGGGGAAGTTGGTGAAGGGTAGAGAAGGTGGTGAAGGTTAGGGTAGGGAAGGTGGTGAAGGGTAGGGAAGATGTTGAAGGGTAGGGCAGGTGGTGAAGGGTTGACAAGGTGGTGAAGGGTAGGGAACGTGGTGAAGGGTAGTGAAGGTGGTGAAGGGTAGAGTAGGTGGTGAAAGGTAGGGAAGGTGTGAAGGGTAGGGAAGGTGGTGAAGGGTAGGGAAGGTGGTGAAGGTTAGGGTAGGGAAGGTGGTAAAGGGTAAGGAAGGTAGTAATAGGTATTGAGGGTGGTGATGGATAGAGATGGTGGTGAAGGGTAGAGGAGGTGGTGAAGAGTAAGGAAGAGGATGAAGGAGAAGGGAACGCGATGAAAAGTTAGGAAAGGGGTAAAGGGTAGGGAGGATGGGCATCCTGGTGACGCCTGCGGTGACGAGCAGCGTCTCTCTCACTATCAGCCACAACACCGCTGATGATACAAACACACCACTGTCACAGGGGCCACATTGTCTCCTCTGAGGAGACACAACTGTCACAGGGCCCACATTGTCTCCTCTGAGGAGACACCACTGTCACAGGGGCCACATTGTCTCCTCTGAGGAGACACCACTGTCACAGGGCCCACATTGTCTCCTCTGAGGAGACACCACTGTCACAGGGGCCACATTATCTCCTCTGAGGAGGCACCA